GAGGGGATGGACAGAAAGGGGAGACATGGGCACAGAGATGGGCCTTACCCAGGGAAGTATGATAAAACAGGCCATGAGAACAAATTGGCAAGGTCAGCCACTTTAACCGATTGCCCACATGCTAACTGATTGGAGGGCTCTTCCCCTGTGTGAACCTTGTGGTGGAAGGTAAGGCTTCACCTCTGACTCATCCTCTTTCCATACTCCAGGCATTCATATGGTTTCTCCCAGGTGAACCTTTTCATGTGCCTTTCGATGGCAGTTTTGAGAAAAACACTTTCCACACTCGAAGCATTTATATGGCTTTTCCCCAGTGTGAACCTTTTGATGTACAGTTAGGTGGTCATATCGAGAGAAACTCTTTCCACACTCCAAGCATTTATACGGCTTCTCCCCTGTGTGAATCGTTTGGTGTCTAGTTAAATGACTACAGGAATGGAAGCACTTTCCACACTCTAAGCACTTATATGGCTTCACTCCAGTGTGAACCTTTTGATGTGTAGTTAAGTGGCTACTCCGAAAGAAGCTCTTCCCACACTCCAGGCATTTATAGGGCTTCTCCCCTGTATGAATCCTATGATGTGCAGTTAGGCAGCCATTCCAAATGAAGCTCTTTCCACACTCCAAGCATTTATATGGCTTCTCACCTGTATGAACTTTCCAATGTGCAGATAGGTGGCCATTGGAAAAGAAACTCTTTCCACACTCCTGACATTTATATGGCTTCTCTCCAGTGTGAACCTTCTGATGTGTAGTTAGGTGGCCACTGCACAAGAAACTCTTTCCACACTCCAAGCATTTATATGGCTTCCCCCCTGTATGAATCCTTTGATGTGTAGTTAGGCTTTTTTTCTGAAAGAAGCTTTTCCCACACTCCAGGCATTTATATGGCTTCTGCCCTGTATGAATCCTTAGATGTCCAGTTAGGGTGGCATTCTCAGAGAAGCTCTTTCCACACTCCAAGCATTTATATGGCTTCTCCCCTGTATGAATCTTTTGATGTGTTCTTAGGTGGACATTCTGGTAGAAACTCTTTCCGCATTTCACACATTTATATGGCTTCTCTCCGGTATGAATCTTTTGATGTTTAGTTAGGTGACGATTGCAAAAGAAGCTCTTTCCACACTGCAAGCATTTATATGTCTTCTCCCCCATATGAGTCTTTTGATGTGCAGTTAGGCTACTCTTATGAAAGAAGCTCTTTCCACACTCCAGGCATTTATATGGCTTCTCCCCTGTGTGAACCTTTTGATGTGCTGTTAGGTGGCTATTGTCAGAGAAAATCCTTCCACATTCCAAGCATGTATACGTTTTCCAGGATGTTGTAACAGTCAGAAATGTTCTAAAACTGAGTCTGTAGCCCAACCCTTCCTTATCCATGGAATCGTAGCTTCCCTTTCTGTTCCACGTTTCATCCTGGGCGGAGACCTCAGGCTGAGTTCTGCTCTGACAGTCAACCAATTCCTTCCACTGCCTCTCTTCTGTTTCCCTTGTCATTCTGCACTGTCTCCCCGGCAGCACTTGATCCCCAGACTTCGCTTCTACCTGCAGGTCTTCCACTTTTCCCGCAACCGTCCTTCCTGATTCCTTCTCACTCGCCATCTCCCTCACATCTGCAACTGCAAAAGAGAGACAGAAATCAAAGACGAATGAAAAAATACAAGTACCAGGTTGGGAATATTGGTTGATGTTGTTCCTTGCACCTACCCTTTAACTTTTTCCTTTGTTTGATTTATCTATGTTATGTCGAATAAAGGTTTTCTGTTTCTGTTCAAGTACCAGGTAGCAGGTACAGTCAGTGGCGAATGGTGCTTTCTACAATGAGAGCTGGGGGCCTGGAACAACCTCAGTAATATCTAACCACACACCAGGATGTCTTGGAAAGGGAGAAGGAGTTGATCCAAGGAAGACTGACGGGTTTTGTTGCTTCTCTTACAGAAAGCTGCTATTGAGACAACATTAAGATTAATGTGTTTTGTGTTGTTAATTTACGAAGCACGCAGAGACAGAATGGGAAAATAAGTGCTTTCCCTTGTTTAAAGGAAAAGGTTGTTGTAAGGCTGAGACGGAAGGGAGGAGAACAATCTAAGCCACTCTGAGTCCCCATAGAGGTGAAATAGTATTTGGATGGGAGGCCACCAAGAAATTCTAGGGTGTTATGCAGAGGAAAGGAATAGCAAATATCCTCTGGTAGTTTCTTGCTTTGAAAACCCCTATCGACACACCATAAGCTGCCTGCAACTTGATGACATGTTTGGTGTAGTGGTTAAGAGCCAGTTTGGTGTAGTGGTTAAGTGGGCGGACTCTAATTTGGGAGAACCGGGTTTGATTCCCCACTCCTCCACTTGCACCTGCTGATGTGACCTTGGGTCAGTCACAAGCTCTGGCACAGCTGTCCTTGAAAAAGAACAGTTTGTGTCAGAGTTCTCTCAGCCCCACCTACCTCACAGGGTGTCTGTCGTGGGGAGGGGAAGGGAAGAGAAGTTTGTAAGCCGCTCTGAGACACCTTTGGGTAGCGAAGGGCAGGGTATAAATCCAATCTCTTCTTCTTCTTCTTCACACTCACTCAGCTTAGAGGGGACACTGCTCAGGAGGTATTATGTTTCGGAGTCATCAACAATAGAAGCCATTTCCTCCACGGGATCTAAACTGTGTAGCCAGGAGATCAGCAGTAAATCAGGGAAACCTCCAGGACCGACCTGGGAGACGGCCACCTTAGGCAGAGCTGCTCATTCAGTACTATCTCTTTATCTATCATAAGGGGGCCACACATCTAATAACACGAGATAGCCCCTGCAGTGAACTATGGGGTTGGTGAGTGGAGCAAGGAGGAGTGGGCTCCCAGCTATAATAACAGGAAACGGGAACGTGGTGGGCAGTGTTCCCTCTAAGCTGAGTTAGTGTGAGCTAGCTCACAGTTTTTCAGCCTCCAGCTCACACATTTTTTGTCTTCGCTCAGGAAGGACGGCTCCAGAGCAAACTAACTTATGCAGAATTTCTGCAGTAGCCAAATAGTTCACTCACAATTTTAATGCCAGTAGCTCACGAATTAGAATTTTTGCTCACAAGACTCCACAGTTTAGAGGGAACATTGGTGGTGGGAGTTCCTGGAGGTCAACTGGGCCAGGAGAAATTGGCACGGGAAGAGGTCGTCTTCCGCATGACTGAGATTTGAATCATCCTGTACGGGAAGCCCCAAAGGAAGCTCTCCAGGAAGGAATTGTACTGAAAATACTTCCTGTTACAGGCAAAAATTATGGTTGAACAGAACTTGAGGTGTTGCAGCCCCAAGAAGTCCATGTAAGCTGAGAGAAAAGAGAAAAGAAAAGAAGAAGTAAAGGCTGAAGGACTCTGAATTGTGCCTTGAATTAAATAGTATGTTGTGATGATTGGGGGGATTGTTTTCAGGCAGTTTAAATTTAAAACAAGGAGAAAGAAAATATGAAAATGTTTGACTCTGTTTATAGAGATGAAATTGAAGTTATGGCTCATTGTAATCAAGCTTATTGATGATCTCCTCTCTTGGGTTTTTAGGTAGTAGCTGGTATTCTTTACTTTCTCCCAATATATGTAGTTACCCTTCCCCTCTTTCTTTGTAGTTTTTGGTAGTTATATAAAATAATTTTAAAAATTTCCTCTGGGGGAACCAAAAAAGAAAGAAAGAAAAGAACTTTAGGTGTTAACCCAGAAAGGGTGCGGGGGTCTTTCCCATATTAAAAGATACTGTGAGTGAAGCAAGTTATGGGGTTGGCGAGGGGAGTGAGAGGCTTGGGGACTAGTCTATATTAATAAAGGGATAGGTCTGTCCCATCTTTTTGCGGCAGGCGTACCTGCCAGTTTGGTGTAGTGGTTTGGAGCGCGGACTCTAATCTGGGAGAACCAGGTTTGATTCCCCACGCCTCCACATGCAGCTGCTGGTGTGACCTTGGGTCAGTCACAAGTTCTTTCAGAGCTGTGCTTTCGAGGGCAGTTCTTAAGAGAGCTCTCTCAGCCCCACCTACCTCCCAGGGTGTCTGCTGTGGGGAAGGGAAGGGAAAGGGATTGTAAACTGCCCTGAGACTCCTTCAGGTAGTGAAGGGCAGGGTATGAATCCAATCTCTTCTTCATCATCAGAAAGCAAGGCTAGCCACTGGAAAACTGGCCACCAAATACAGGATGACCTTGGGGGAAGCAGTGCCAAGAAAGAAGGGAACAACCTGGCCCAGATTATCCCTGGAACATCTCTATGGGGTCTGCAATGGAAGCAAATGTCTAGTCGCAAGGAGCCAGGAGGTAGCACAAACAGGGAGGGTGGTGAAATACCACCTTCCTTCCTCTTCGACTGTGTCAGACAACAGACAGCTCACAGGAGACTCCCATTTTCCTCTCCAGCAACAGTTTGCCTGGAATTTTCCACCAAACCCAGCTGATTCCACTCCAAGGGGTGGTGCCTCAGGAGGCCCTCAGGCAGGGGCCTTGCCCAGCCCTGCAACCAGGGCTCTTTTTGTAGAAAAAGCCCAGCAGGGACTCATTTGCATAACAGGCCACGCCTAACAGCAGAAACTCATTAGCATATTAGGCCACACCCCTGACAGCACAGCTCATTGGCATATTAGGCCACACCCCCATGTTACCAGAAGTGTGGTCATCCAGCCACACCCACCTTTCCCTTCTTATTCTGTTCACCTTGTTTGTTGTCAAAACTCAGGGCCTTTTTTGTAGCAGGAACTCCTTTGCATGTTAGGCCACACATCCCACACACGTAGCCAATCCTAATGAGTTTCTGCTGTTGGGTGTGGCCTATTATGCTAATGAGTTCCTGCTGGGCATGGCCGACTCGGGAGCCAGCCGGAACTCCGTTCCTGTGCGTTCCTGCCCAGAAATAGCCCTGCCCGCAACCAAAGACCATCGTGTCTAAACCCTTTTTCAAGTGCCAGGGACTGACTTTAGACATGCAGACCAGATGTTCTGCCACTCAGCGAGGGCCCCTCTTCGGGCCTAGTCGAATCAACAGTGCCATCCCTCCTCTGTCACACAAAGAAAAGACCATGGGAGAGCCGCTCTGTGTCAAGATACAAAGGCCAAAGAAGAAAACTGGAGCTGCGGGGATTTTCTAGCGGAAACCTAACCGGAGATCGTCCTTCTCTACAGATCAGAGCAGCCTTCATCCTACTCATGAAGCTGCCTTCTACTGAATCCATCAAGGTCAGTATTGTCTGCTCAGACTGGCAGCAGCTCTCCAGAGTCTCAGGCAGAGGTCTTTCACATCCCCTACTTCCTGGTCCTTTTCAACTGGAGGTGCCGCGGATTGAACCTGCGGCCTTCTGCATGCCAAGACGATGCTCTGCCACTGAGCCACGGCCCCTCTCCCCCAGCACAATTGACTCCAGCATAAGCTGTGTTAGTTCCCAAGGGGCTACTGCACTCCGGCTTGATTTCTGATTCAGAGGCTAATTTCTAACCTGGCCATGCCCTCTTGACCGGAAACTTCTGTCACCGTCCACCAATGTTCCCTCTAAGCCGTGGAGTCTTGTGAGCAAAAATCCTACTTTGTGAGCTGCTGGCATTAAAGTTGTGAGTGAGCGATTTGACTACTGCATCAGTCAGTTTGCTCTGGAGCCACCCCTTCCTGAGCTGAGACAAAAATGTGTGACCCTAACCCTAACCCTAACCCTTACCGAGAGAGGCCACCGTCTCATAGTTTTCCTCCAGCACTTCCCAGTAGAAGTTTCTTTGGGCTGGATCCAACAGACTCCATTCTTCTTCTGTGAAGGACACGGCTACCTCCTCAAAGGACACTGGGGATCTCTGAAAGAGGAAAATATGGCCCAGCTGATAATCTATTCATGTCACCGAACATTCAAGAAAGAAAGAAGAATCCCACTGGACACTCGATTAAAAGAAGAAGAAGAGATTGGATTTATACCCCGCCCTTCACTTGGAGTCTCAGAGCGGCTTACAAACTCCTTTCCCTTCCCCTCCCCACAACAGACACCCTGTGAGGTGGGTGGGGCTGAGAGAACTCTGACACAAACTGCTCTTTTTCAAGGACAGCTGTGCCAGAGCTTGTGACTGACCCAAGGTCACATCAGCAGGTGCAAGTGGAGGAGTGGGGAATCAAACCTGGCTCTCCCAGATTAGCGTCTGCGCACTTAACCACTACACCAAACTGGCTGCAGTACCTCAAACTGATGGCAAGCAAAACTGCATTACTTGTTTCAGCCTCTGACAGTTATACTGGAAGTCTCCAAGAAATATAAACTCAGAAAATTGCAAGGAACTGGGATTCTCTTGGCTGAGTCCAATGAAATGTTAAAAAACCCCAATTGACTGTAAAGCTGATCCTATACTATCTTGCATGTTTGTCCCCAGAAATACATAGAAGATTTCTGCTATAAACATTTTTGTCTGCGGAGGCACTCTGTGTTACTCTAAAACTTGCATCCAGTTCTGTAAACATAAACTGGCCTAATTAAAGTCAAGGTGTCTTTTGTTCTGTTTTTCCCTTGACAAACCGAAGGCCTATTCACTCCAGGCCTTGTGATCCTTGGGGCTTGGTGGGTGAGAGATGCAGGGCACAAAACTCCCAGCACAAACCGGCTGCCTCAAAGACCTTTACAGATATTTGTGCGTTGTGGAATGACAGCAATTTGTACAGCACGCCCTTCAATGGAAAGTAAGCCACTGCACGATCTCATTCGATTTTGGATTTCAAACAAAAGCAACAGTTTAAAGCAAAGATAACCAAATTGCAGAAAAATCACTAAATTGGGAGTAGGGGAATTAGTTTTATCTGGAATAATAAAATGAAAGCCAGGAGTCTCAAAATTGGCACAAGCCTTCAGGATGCCTGCAGGCGCTGCGACGCTGAAGATGAAGGAAAGCGGAACATCCTGGGCCACATTAACAAGAGAACACCCTTCTGCTATTCTGCAGTGGAAGTGATGGTTTACTCCCAAGAAGACTGGACGGTGGAGGCAGCAAAGACAGGGAGGGTGGGGGTGGATCCCCTCCTTTGCAAAATGAACCTTCAGACCGGTTTTCAGTTCAGAGATCTTCTTGAGGGTGATGCTCATTGGAATGTATGCACTGAGAATACAATTCCGAGAGCAAAATATGGCCAGACACCTCTTTGGGTGTAGCCCGTGGATTATGCAAAAAAACCCAACAACACTGTGTGGGCGGCAGTGTTACAGGGCCCAATAAGGACAGACAATGAACCCTGCAGGATCAGACTTGAGGGTCCATCTAAGTTTTTAAAAAACAAATAAACCCTGGCCAGCTGCCAGGAACACATTCAAGTGAGTGAAAACAAAAGCGCCCCCCCACACACACACAGATCCTACCCAGGAAACCCCTCTCCCAATGCTCCCCCCTCATCACCTCTTCCTCTTTCACTCCTCTTCACGCACATTTCCCCTCCCCTCCCCTATTCTTGCCCAAGAGCTGTTGAGGAAATCCTAAACTCACCTTTCCTGCAGATACTGAAGAACCAAATTCTTCCTCCAGCCGGGGGAAACGAGAAAGAAGAGAGGCCCAGTGGAATTCCATGTTCCCCAAATTTCTTTCTCCCTGTCTAGGACAAACTGTCCCCAGGACACCCAGAAAAGGCAGGGTTGGCCTTTCTGGTGCTTGCGAGGCCTTCTGGGAAACGTAGTCCCCTGCAACAAGACCCAAAAACCAAAGTATTTGGCAACCTGAGGGACCACCTTTCCCCATACATACCCCAAACGGTCGGGGTCTCAAAATCGACTGGCCCTCCCAGGCCCCAGGGATGCCAGGCTGGCTACTACCAGGGCCCGGGGCCTTCTCAGTGGTGGCTCCATACTGGTGGAACGAGCTCCCAGAAAAGATCAGGGCCCCGTGGGATCTTTTACAGTTCTGCAGGGCCTGCAAGACGGAGCTCTTCCACCAGGCCTTCAACTAAGGAGCCATGGCCAACAATCCCAATTATAGAGCCCTGGGTCTTGGCTTTGACATCTACTGCCTGCGCCGCCACTCATATCAGGAAGGTCATGGAGCAGAACATTCAATTAGACCTTGCCTGCACTCATACAGTAAGGTAAAGGTAAAGGTTCCCTTGCTCAAAAGCCTGTCGAATCCGACTCTAGGGTTGCGGTGCTCATCTCCGTTTCAAAGCCGAAGAGCCAGCGCTGTCCGAAGACGTTTCCATGGTCATGTGGCCGGCATGACTAAACACCAAGGCGCATGGAACGCTGTTACCTTCCCACCGAAGTGGTCCCTATTTATCTACTTGCAATTTCTTGCTTTCGAACTGCTAGGTTGGCAGGAGCTGGAACTAGAGACGGGAGCTCACTCCGTCATGCGGCACCCGGGTCTCGAACTGCTGAACTACCGACCTTCCACAGCCTGCAGTTCAGCGTCTTAACTACTTGAGCCACCGCAGCTCCTACTCATACAGTACACCATCGTTAAGCAATAACTAATGATCGCCAGCACTTTACGATACCGAATTGTTTTAATTGAACTGTTTTTAGATTATTTTATGTGGGTTTTAACGGTTATTTATGTATAAAATTGTGTAAGCCACCCTGAGCCTACTTCACAGAAAGGGTGGGGTATAAATTAATTAAATAAATAACAATAAAAATAATAACATGGAAGAGAAGGCTTCCTGTTTCATTTGCTGCCTTGTGGGGCAGCCTCCTGTGTGTATGCATAAATCTTCTTCCTTGTTTTATGAAACCCCCTGCTTCAGTGACCTCTGTCTTCTTCAGGCTCAATACAAAGCTTACCTCACAGCAGAACCCCAAACCCTTTCCACTGGCTACCCCAAGAATATCACATGGCCGAGGGGAAGGCTTCTACCACGCAAACAACAGTGGAGAACTGGAAATACAGTAATCATGACATCCCTCCACTATTTGTAATGGAGCCAAAGGTTTATTCATGAGAAGCCAGGAAAGTGCCAGCAGCAGAGACAGAAGGGTGAAAAATATCCACTCTGTGAAAAAGCACAGGGGGGTTTAACCACTTCCCTGATCTGTCAGGGCTTGTGTGGGGAAATTGTTGGAATGCTGGACTAGGGTCATGGAGCCCGGGGTTCAAACTAAGACTCGGATGAGGGTTCCTGAAGGTCATCTGTACCATGAGAAATTGGCCAGTGAAGAGCTCTTCTTGAGCACAACTGGCACTGGATTCTTACTACAGAGGAAGCAGCAAAGGAAGATCTTGAGGAAGGAATTGTACTGAAAACACCATTATAGAAGAAAAATATGGCAAAACAGAACATACGGTGTTAACCTGTGGAGGGTGCAGGGGTCTCTCCCTTGTGAAAGAATACCGTGCGTGCAGCACGTTATGGGGGTGGCAAGGAGAGTGAGTGGGGGTCTCATCTGTATTAAGAAAGGGATGTGTCTGTCTGTCTGTCTTTTTGTGGCAGGCATATTTCATCAGGAATCAAGGCCAGGCACTGGAAAATGGGCCACCAGTTTTAGGATGATCATTGTGGGAATAGCAGTGTCAAAAACAAATGGAATCATACTTTCCTGACCCTGATGCCTGTGGGGTTTCAAATAAGGCAAAGGTTTACTCGTGAGAAGCCAGGAGGCATCACAGAGAAGAAGGGTCTGTCTTTTCGTGGCTGGCATAAAAGAACAGAAGAACATAAGAGGAGCCATGTTGTATCAGGACAGTGGCCCATTCAGACCAGCACTCCGTGTCACACGGTGGCCAAAACCCAGGTGCCAAGAAGAAGAAGAAGAAGAAGAAGAAGAAGAAGAAGAAGAAGAAGAAGAAGAAGAAGAAGAAGAAGAAGAAGAGGAGGAGGAGGAGGAGATTGGATTCATATGCCGCCCTTCACTACCCAAAGGAGTCTCAGAGCGGCTTACAAACTCCTCCCCCTCCCCACAGCAGACACCCTGTAAGGTAGGTGGGGCTGAGAGAGCTCTTTCCAGAATGGCCCTTTCAAGGACAGCTCTTATCAGAACTATGGCTTGCCCAAGGTCATCCAGCAGGTGCAAGTGGAGGTGCAAGAACTCCAGAAGCCCTTCCACTGTTGCTCCCCAAGCACCAGTAAAGAGCATCACTGCCCCAGATAGAATATGCCATCTGCATCTTGTGGCATACCTCATCAGGAACCAAGATTAGGCACAGGAAAACTGGCCACCAGCTTTAGGATGATCACGGGAGCAGCAGTGCCAAAAAGGAAGGGAAATGCAATATCCTGGCCCAGATTTACCTCCAGAGCATCCCTGTGGCGCTTGCAATGGAAGCAAAGGTTTACTCATGAGAAGCCAGGAGGCAGCACAGGGTGGAAAATATTCCCTCCTGTACAAAACAAAAGACGCTTCTCTGAGTTTTCAGACAGTGTGGCATAGTGGTCAGAGTGTCCGATTAGGATCTAAGAGGACCAGCTTTAAAGACCAAGGACTCTTCCCTGGATACTTCCTGGGTGACCTTGGGCCCATAACACACTCTCATCCAGACTAACTTCACAGGGTTGGAGCAGAGGTCCATCAGTGGCTATAGCCACAAGGTATAGGTAGGAACTCTCAGTCTGGGGAAAGTGATGCTCTGTATTCTTGGTGCTTGGGGGGGAGGGGCAACAGTGGGAGGGCTTCTAGTGTCCTGGCCCCACTGCTGGACCTTCTGATGGCACCTGGTATTTTTGGCCACTGTGTGACAGAGTGTTGGACTGGATGGGCCATTGGCCTGATCCAACATTGGCGTCTCTTATGTTCTCATGAGGATAAAATGGAGGATGCTCTCCAGGGCAACTGATTCCCCACCATGTGAAACAGGGCCCTGGACTAGACCGACAACTGGACTGGTCCAGCTGTACTTAAAAAACAGAAATTGCTGACTGGGGGAGTTGATTCTTGCAGCTGAAGAAGCAGAAACCCCATTTTGTTTCTCCAGGGGAAAGAAGGTAGGAGGGTCCCTGTCGGAGGGAGCGGGGGGGGAGGGGGAAGGAGGCCAAAGTTCTCCTCCTTGTTCTTCCAAACTTCCAGAAAGATATTCCCTGCACTGCACAACAGGGAGGAGAGAAGGGATTCCCCCATACACCATACATCTTGTTCTGCGTTAATTCTTTTAAATTATCTGATGCCCTACAGCAGTGATGGCGAACCTTTTAGAGACCGAGTGCCCAAACTGCGACCCAAAACCCACTTATTTATCGCAAAGTGCCAACACGGCAATTTAACCTGAATACTGAGGTTTTACTTTAGAAAAAACAACTCATACATTAACTTAAGATGATCCAAACAAAGTAAGGAAAGCAATCCCAAATGCTTTCATTTACTTAAAATTATTTGGCAGAGAATCCGACACTTTAATGATGGTCTGGGCCTGGCTGGGGCGATGGCGTGCCCACAGAGAGGGCTCTGAGTGCCACCTCTGGCACCCGTGCCATAGGTTCACCACCACTGCCCTACAGTAAAGGCAAAATGGTCATGGTCCATCTGTCTGTTAGCGTTCTGACGGTATCTGATGCTCTGAGGTGAAGTGGACACGGCCTAGTCTGGACTTTCCTTGGCTCCTCCCTGATCTTAACTGGCCAAGGAACAGCAGAACGTTAGGAGGAAAAGCAGCGTCTCTTGCCTGGCTTCTCTTCCCCGGCCTACCACCTTCCTCACAGTTGACTTTCATGTTCTCCTCCAAGATTTTGCCTGGAACGTCTCTCCCACGATTTTCATAAAAGGAGAAAGATCCTTACCCAAAAAGGCCACCGTCTCATACGTTTCCTGCATCACTTCCCAGTAGAAGTTCCTCTGGGCTGGATCCAGGAGATTCCATTCTTCCTCCGTAAAGGACACGGCTACCTCCTCAAAGGATATTGAGGATCTCTGAAAGAGGAAAATAGGGCCCAGTTGGCAATCTATTCCTGTTATCAAGCATTCAAGAATGAAAGAAGAAGCCCATCGGCCACTCAGTTGCTATAAAAAAAATGGAATACATCAAACCTTCAGAAATGAAAACCTTCAAGAAATAGAAACTCAGGAAATTGCACAGAACAAGGCTTCTCTTGGTTAAGTTCAATTAAAGGAAAAAACAAACACCCTATTTGACTGTATACCACTTTTAACAATACTATCTTGGACATTTAACCCCAGAAATATATGGAAATTTCACAGAAGGTTTCTGTTTTAAACATTTTTTTCCCTGCAGAGGTGTTCTGTGTTACTCAAAGGCTTGCATCCAGATCTGTAAACATCGACTGGCCTAATTAAACTCATCCTGTTTTTGTTCCATTTTTAACCTAACAAAGCCAAGAGGCCTGTCCATCATGTGATCCTTGGGGCTTGGTGGGTGAGAGACGCGGGGCACAAAATACCCAGCACAAACCTGCTGCTTTGCAGCAGGCCTTGTAAAATGACTCCAGTTTTATACAACATCCGAACAGATTCTGGATTTCAAACAAAAGGCGAAGATTTAAGGCAAAGTTACACATGAGGCACGAAATTAGCAAGGGATGAATTATTTTTATCTGTCATCACAAGATGAAAGCTGGGAGATGCGAAATTGGACACCAGCTTCAGGATAATTGTGGGAGTCGAGATGCCAAAAATGGAAATGGAAATACCCTGGCTCCGATTAACAACAGAAAATCCCTCTGCTATTTTGCAATGGAAGTGATGGCTTACTCCAGAGAAGCCAGGATGGTGGAGGGCAAACCAGGGAGGATGGAGGAGAGCCCCTCCTTCACAAACCTTCAGACCAGCCGGCCATTCAGAATCAGAGATCGTCTGGAGGAGGATGCTCCCTGGGGTCGTGCCCTAAGCCAGAGAAAGCAACAGTATGTACTGAAAATAGACTTACAAGAGCAAAATACAGCCGAGCACCCCTTTTGCGGGTTAGCCCCTGGAGCGTGCGAAAAACAAAACTGCGAGTTCAGCAAGCGACAGGGCCCAATAACAACGAACCCTGCTGGATCAGGCCAGGAGTCCGTCTGCTCAGGCTGGTTGCAGGGAGGACATTCAAGTGGGTGAAAACAAAGGGGGGGGGGCCCTGCCCCATACAGATCCTTGTCTCTAAGCTGAGTTAGTGTGAGCTAGCTCACAGTTTTTTGGCCTCTGGCTCACACAGTTTTGTCTCAGCTCAGGAAGGACGGCTCCAGAGCAAACTAATGTATGCAGTAGCCAATTTGCTTGCTCACAACTTTTAATGCCAGTAGCTCACAAAGTAGAATTTTTGCTCACAAGACTTCACAGCTTAGAGGGAGCATTGGAGGGGGGGACCCCCTTTCTCCGCGCTCCCTCCGGCCGGCCCGCTCTTCATCTTCCCACGTATTTAAACTCCCCGGTTCTTGCCCAAGAACTCTTTTATGAAAACCTCAACTCACCCGTCCTGCAAGCGTGCAAAAGCCAAATTCTCCCTCCAGCCAGGGGGAACCAGGAAGGAGAGGCGCCTCCCGGAATGCCACACTCCCTCCCCAAATTTCCTTCTTCCCCTCTAGGACCACCCCCCTTCGGGAAACCGAGACTCGCAGGGCCTTCTGGGAAATGCAGTTCTCTGGAACAAGAAGAAAGTCTTAACGGAATAACAGGAGTCCGTGGAAGGTTTTCTCATTCTTCTGTGGTTGTTTGGGGCAGCTTGCTAGGACGTCTTCACTGCATGAGACACCAGCTGGCGCAATGGGGAAGAAGCCCTTTCTGCCCAAATCTTTGACATTCGTTATCGCGCGGCGCGTTGTTCTCCCGTTGGGAACTACACTTCCCAGATGCCCTTGCGAGCCCCAAAGAGGTCCTCCCAGGATATTCTAAAAGGTAAAGGTTCCCTTGCTCGAAAGCCAGTCGAGTCCGACTCTAGGGTTGCGGAGCCAGCGCTGTCCGAAGACGTTTCCGTGGTTATGTGGCCGGCATGACTAAACACCAAGGCGCCGGAACGCTGTTACCTTCCCACCGAAGTGGTCCCTATTTATCTACTTGCAATTTCTTGCTTTCGAACTGCTAGGTTGGCAGGAGCTGGAACTAGAGACGGGAGCTCACTCGGCACCCGGGTCTCGAACTGCTGGACTACTGACCTTCCACAGCCTGCAGTTCAGCGTCTTAACCACTTGAACCACAGCAGCTCCAGGTGTCATATAAGCAAGGCGTTCATTTGCATCTTTAATCACCCCTAGATGCAAGGAATATGAAATTGAGCAAACTTCAGAGGACAGCGGAAGACAGGAGGGCCTGGCGGGATCTGGTCCATGGGGTCGCGAAGAGTCGGACTCGACTGTGTGACTGAACAACAACAAGGTAGCACCAAAGTCGCAAAAAGACTGTGACTGAATAGTTGTATCAGAGCCCAGTATATCGATGGCATATGAAATGCTTACGTCTTCCTTCTGGGTAAAGCAAAGAGAACAGGTTAAGGAAATGGCCAGCCAAAGAAAACTAAGACAAATAGCAACTGGTTACATGAATGCAGTGACTAATTACTCCAAAATAACACACAAGGTGCGTGGAGGCCCCCCACTCACACACGGAAGACACTAACCACAAGAATGTGGTGCTCATTCTGACTGGGTGTGTGGATGACGTCTGGCTGCAGTCAAATTGGCAACTCTGGCTTTGTGGCATCTTCTGCTGAACACTGCCGAGCAGATGCAGGGAGCATCTTACCACTCATGTGGCAATTCCAAAGGGAATGGAGTGCTTCTGAGCATGTGCAGAGGTTTTCCCTTTGTGAGGGAAGAGTCTGTTTGGATATGGGACTTGCTCTGGAGCCTTTAAGCATCAACACACGGCCGGTCGTTTCCCCTCTAAGGAAACCTGGAAGAAACCACATGGACACTCTTGGTTTAAACGCTTTAACAGTCATTCGAAAATATAAAACACGGTACAGAACTAGTAGCAGAACCAGTGTGGTGTAGAAGTAATGAGTGTCAGGCTAGGATCTGGGAGACCCAAATTAGAGTCCCCGCTCTGCCACTTATGGCTCCTGGTGCCCTTGGTCCACTCACACCCTCTCAGCCTCACCTACCTCACAGGGCTGTTCTGAGGATAAAGCAGAGAGGGGAATGGCATAAGCTGCTTGGGTCACCACTAAGGTTGAGGCTCTGTTGGGGTGATTCTGCATCTAGCATTTGTTCCACATTTTCTCAACTGGGATGAAAACATGCAGCTCAAAACCACATGCAAATATCCCGGGCCAATGCCTTACTGACTGCAAAGTCACCCCTGAAAGGCCATAAAACGACCATAAATCTATGCAGAAGATACCATAAAGTCCGATGACCAACTCTTCTTCCCTTCCTGCGAATGTAGAACATCATAAAATGTGACATTATAAAGACGTGTATTTCTCCACCTCTGCCTCACAGCAGAGGGGTTGTGGGCAGGGTTCCCTCTAAGCTCAGTTAGCGTGAGCTAGCTCACCGTTTTCTAGCCTCCGGCTCACGCATTCGTGTCTTCGCTCAGGAAGGGTGGCTCCAGAACTGATTGATTTATGCAGCAGCCAAATCGCTCGCTCACAACTTTAGTGCCAGTAGCTCACAAAGTAGAATTTTTGCTCACAAGACTCCACAGCTTAGAGGGAACATTGGAATCCGCCACTGAACTCAGACCGGCATCTACCACTATATCAATCTATAGGGGGTGGTGCATCTACCCAGCCACCTGAATCCTCCTTGATTGTTTTGGGATCTGGCACCTTAAGGGTTAAAGTGAGGAATCTGCAGAAGGCTAGAGAGGACCAGAACACGGCGCCAGAGCCGGATGTAAACAATGCCACCGCCCCCGGCCCCTCCCCGCCCTCTGGCTGTGACTTTTCTCCCTGGGAAATCGGACCTCCTGCAGCTCTTCTCCCCGCTCCCTGAACGGTGCTGCTGCTGCTGATTGTGTTCTTGTGGGTGCAGATCTCCGGGAAAGCGCTTGGCTGGACGAGTGGGGAAGGAAAGGTAGGCTCAGCATCTCCAGATTCAGACGACTGTGGGCAGCAGAAGCTGCAAAAGGCTTTACTCTGCCTGGGATTTTTGGAGAGCAGCGCTTGCTCAGAGAGTGCCGGACTATAGGTGGTCAAAGGGATAAAGCGGGGGGGGGGGATAGTTCAGTAGGCGGAGGGCTTCAGTCTCACGTGAAAGCTCTAGTGGGCCTCTCTGACGGTTGTTGTCTCCTGGCACTGGGAATCAGAGGATTAGTGCCTCTCTGAATGTGAAGGAGAGTGTTCCCTCTAAGCTGAGTTAGTGTGAGCTAGCTCACAGTTTTTTAGCTTCTGGCTCACACATTTTTGTCTTAGCTCAGGAAGGATGGCTCCAGTGCAAACTAATTTATGCAGTAGCCAAATCGCTTTACTTTAATGCCGGCAGCTCACAACTTTAATGCCGGCAGCTCACAAAAT